TTAGTTATATAGGAGACGCTTTTAACCAAAGCGACCTAATATATATATATATATATATATATATATATATATTAGATGATTTATATGTATATTAGATTTTAAATAAATGCTGTTCTATTTATGACTTTTATGATTTATGCTAAGCTTTCTATTTATGAAAGAATCCTGAAAATATATGTATCAGTTTCCACAAAAATATTGATTGTAATAATAATAAATGTTCTTCTTTATAGTATTTTTTGACCCCAAACTTTTGAATGGTGGTATAGTTGTTGAATTAATGACACACTGTTGCTGCTGAAGCTGATTGTAGCCTGTCTGCTCTTCCAGGTGAAACTCTGCTCAGTCCTCTGGTGATGTGCGGCCCTCACGGTCTGAAGTTCCTGAAGCCCGTAGAACTCCGTCTACCACACTGTGCGTCTATGACCCCTGATGGTTGGTCTTTTGCTCTAAAATCCTCCGACTCCTCGTCGGGTACGCTGTCCTTTCTCTCTGTCCTATGATGGGTTTTTTGGGATCGGGATTGAAGCTGTTTGGAAACCGCTATCCACCTTGTGATTTCCTTTCATTTTCTGGGTTCCCTGAATTAACATTTCACGCTCAGAGTTATCCTGATCACATGACACTTTCACTGTGTGATCTGTGCGCTTGCTTTGCTTCATCGATTTATCACCAGTCTGAATCGCAGATGCACTTAATGTCTCTTTAGCTCTTATTCATTCACAATTAACCCATGTAATTTTGTAAAATGTGACTGGAACTGACACACATCATTGGGCTCAGTATGGCCACGCTTGAGGAAGACAACCAGGAGCGAGTCCATCTAAATTAGCATTCGCTTTGTGTATAAATACAGGAGTCGCTCCTGATCTTGTGATGGTTATCACGGTGGTAATATGGCTGTAGATAAGAAATGTGGATGCCAACAAATGAACCCGTTTGGCATTGGCAGTTTTTTCTGCATTTGGTTGTGACACCCATTTATAACCAAACTCTTGTGTGAACAGAACTGGATTAAGTGTTCAAAAGAGGAGTGACTGTTAAATTTAGCCGCAGTGTGAAAATGGCATGTCTAAATGGAGTAATTGGGTTACTCTGGGAAAATTTTGGATTTAAAACCACATTTAATTTCATTTCCAGGACTGAATCTGCTAAATTATTGTGTACGAATACAGGAGTCACTCCTAATTTCGGCATGGTGGTAATGTGGTGTCTTGTGGCTGTAAATGCCAGCAAATGCCAGCAAATCTTGGTTTTACGTTTGTAACCTTGTTTTTCAGAAATGAATTTGGTTTTCACACCCATAACCAAATTCTGTGTGTGAACAGAACTGGATTAAGTGCTCCAAAGGGGAGTGACAGAATTTAGCTGCAGTGTGAATAGGGCCTGTCCAAACAGTCATTCGGTTCAGGGAATCAAAACCATATTTAGTTTATTTGCAAAGCTGAATCCCTTAAATTAGGAGTCACTCCTGATCTCATGATGGTTGACATGGTGATAATATGGCATCTTGTGGTTCTGAATGACATGTAAATGACATGTGGTTGTAAATAATAAATTAACCTGATTGCTATTTTTGATGAAAGTCTTTCCCAGAGCAAATTCATTTGTCACTACCCTAATTAATCGAACAGTGTGTATACAGAACAGTATTAAGCAGCCAAAAATGAGTGACAACTGAATTTAGCTGCAGTGTGAACTAGGGCTACATGATTAATCCAAATAAAACCTTAATCACACAGGCTGTGATTTTAATTAATTAAAAATATATGTGCTGCGTGTTTCAGAATGACGCATGGCACGATGTTCTTTTACCTGTGAGCAAGACAAATTATTATTATTACTTATTTATATTTTACAGAGAATATAAGTTTCATTTCTCATTTTGTTTAATATTTCTATTTAGTAATAATAATTATTATTGTTATTTTAATATTAAATATTATATATTTTATTAGAAGTATTATTATAATTATACTTTGCTAACAATTTACAATAAGGTCCCATTAGTTCATGTTAGTTAATGCATTAACAATAATGCTTTGCTACAGTATTTATTCATTTTTGTTGAAGTTAGTTTATAAAAATATAACTGTTCATTGTTAGTTCATGTTGGATTTGATTGTAATAACATATGTAAAAGTTGAAATTATGATTTATAAATATTTTAGAAGTATTTTTTATTATTAGCTCATGTTAACTAATTCAGTGAATGGAACCTATATTATTATATATTTTATATAATACAATTTTGGGCTAAATTGTGCAGCCCTACAAACGGCCACAGCAAACCTAATGCCTTTTTCTTTTTAATCATAATTTATCTACATTTTTTTTTCACAAATCGTGCAGCCCTAGTGTGAATAGAAAAATCCGAATTTTTAGATTATGATGTTGTCTTATAGCATATTCCTCATGATGTTCCTCCTGTTGATCTGTCCACAGGTGACCCCAAATGCTGGCAAAACAAGTGTCTACCAGGAGACCCCAATTACCTGGTGGGCGCCAACTGTGTGTCCGTGCTGATCGACCACTTCTGAAGAGAGCAACAGCTGGTCTGTTACTGAACGTCAGCGCATGGACCCTTCTCCAGCTCTTCTACTCAGGAGGAGGGATTTGCACCACTTTATGAAGTATTAATTCTTCCATCTTTTCTTTGATGGGCTGAAGCGGCGTGCCCAAAAAATCTCTTAGAGAACGGCACTGATGGCACAGTACTACGGAGCGCTCCTTTTACTATTCCCTTTGTTTTCCACTTTTTTTTTTTCCCCGAGTTTTGTTTTGCCTTTTTCTTTACCTTTTGGTGCTTGAAGACTTGCAAAAAATTACTGAATAAATAAATGACTGAAATTGAACTGCTAATGGAATGCATGACCTGTGCCGCAGACAGTCAGAAAAATTTCTCCCATTTTTGACATTTGTAGCGTCTTTTTCTCCAAATAATTAGAAGTCTTGAACGGAACCGGAAAAACAATAGATGGAAAAATGAAGTCATTTTACGTAAAACAAGTGAATCCTACCAATGTGCTCCCAAACAGAAAAGTCCATGTATGCAGAGCTTTTTTGTTTGCGAGGTCGTGTGTTTTTCGTGGAACGCTGTAACAGATTTTCACGGATCTGGAAAGCGTGTCGGTTTGTAGAGAATGAAGAACAATTGAGACTTTCTGAAGTGAAGAACTGCTTATTGAAGGAATGTGACTCTTGCACTCATCTGCTCATGGACTACTCTCTCTGGCTAAAAACAAAAAAATGGGCTCTTTTTCCTCTCTCGTTTTGAAGCGATTTTTTCTAGCGATGTTTTATTGTCGATAAACACTGACTGTGGTTTTCCGAAACTCCTGCTGTCTAGAGATCTATGCATGTGCTATGACTCAGGTCCAAACGCCTGCTACTAAGTTGAGTACACAAACCTACCCATCATACACTGCAAGCAGTGATGCCTTATCTGCATTTTTTTTGTTGTTTTGTTACTTTGACCCGAAAGATGTCGAATTTCTGTTACAGAGGGAAGGACACGAAACTCTCCCACCTTAATGAAGCGGGATATTTAGCACACAAACAATGAAGTCTGATCAACAGGTCTGCTTTCTCACTGCTATGCATATGAAGTCAAAGAATATACAAGAACACTAGGATGTTTCAATTACAGCTGTATATATTGTGCTAGCATATGGCCTTGGGTCGCTGTAAATGACCTTTTGTACATCTTTATTTTGTATAAAAACGTAACATGGAAAAAATTTCTTAACAAAAAAAGGAAAACTATAACATTGGTTATGTTTGTATTCCGGTTATACTTCTGAGCCTTGGAGTTTACCTTAGCACTACGGAGAAAAAAACTGAAGCGAATTTTAAAAATTATATCATAAATGCAACGGAAAAGGACGTTATCTTTTATACCAACAGCATATATACAAAACACTACGTAATGGCATTTTTAACAGTTACAGAAACATTTTTATTATTTACAAACTAGAAAAGTGCTCCGTTTGAATAATTTAAGGACTCTGTACTTCAGAAGGGTCCACGTTGGTGGTCGGACCCCGACTTTATTTGTGATACTGGTTGCTGTATTGTGTGCCCTGAAATGTATTTTTGTACTAATAGACAGTTTATTAAGGCACATCAGTACGACTTTGTTTTGATATGACGACGCAGCTTCATCCCGGGTTTAGTTTCTTTACTTTGTGTGGCGACATTCTTTTTATGTTCTCTTTTTTTCTTTGCAGCACATTTCTAAGTATACAACTGTATTAATAAATTAATTTTTAAAGTAAAAAAACAATCTTTTTTTAGTGCTTCACTGATAAGGTGTTGGATAATCTTGACGATTGTGAAATGGAAACGATGTCAATGACCCCGGTATTGGGTACAGAATGAAACCGGTTCAGTTGGGTTTGTGTTTTGTAGAAATGTTTATTTTTTGAGCTCAGAGGTTGATGGGATGGGAGGTCATGAATTTTGCCCTTTCACCTACTTAAACATACTGCCGCTGATTAGAGTCTCTTGACCAGCGGACACAAGAGCATTGAGAAAACCAGCGACCGGATTTCTTAAAAGCCATTGTGTCAGCAAGATGAATCATAAAGCAGTGACTCTCAACTGGTTTGTGGCAAGTGGTGAATCAGAACCACAATTATTGTACTAAAGAAAAAAAATGTTATTCAAATCAAATAAATGTACATTTTAAATTAAATTTGAGCTACAAAATACCATAGCGTTTGATTGGACACGGCCTTTGAATTTAGCAAAATATACTGTATGGGAAGCCTTTTGTGCCTATTTTGCTACATAAACAGTTTATTATTTGTATTTGCCATTTATCTCTACGAACCATGAGCCAGTTGAGAATCGCTGCTTTGAGAGTTAAAGTTGTAGTATATATATACTATTATATAAAGTAAATTTAGTGTACCACAATCTTATTAGAGTCTATTTAACTGCAGGTTGAGATGGTTATAAATGAACATTATTAAAAGGTTAAGTCATAAAGTACTAATGTAAAACAGTTGATTGTACTGCTCAAAAGGTTAAAATCATTCACCGTAATCACTTGTTTTCCCTGAGATTAGTGGGTAACTACTGGTTAGTAGATTTCAAAGTTGTACCGTTAGCTTATTCTATGGATTTTTACAGTTTAATTTCCTGCGACAGGATCGACTTGTGAATTTCGTGAGAGAGTGGAATGTATTTCTTTTGCGTCAGGTCCAGGAAGTAGAGAGGATCTCGTATTAAGGTCGGGTCAAAGCCCTCCTCCACCAGCTTCACTTTCTTCATCTTGAAAGTTCCTGTGACTTCCAAGGAATTCTGAAAAACAAATTTGTTGTTGGTGAGTGTCAGAGAGAGACTGAAGAGGACAAGCAGGATTCATGGGAATATATATATAGAGGTAAGGTTTCATCAAACCTGAATTCGGATGAATCGAGGTCTGGCGTACACTGGAAGATAGTTCGCCAAAACACTGCAAGTGTTGATGCAGTCAAACTCTCTGCCCTCTTTCAGCTTTACAGCTGCCATTCCAATCCTTCCTTCATGACCTGAAGATAAAAGATTTTAGCATGAATATCCAATTAAAAGTATGCTTTAAATATATATAGTATTTCAGTGGATTTTTCTGCTTCCTTAAAGGGACAGATCTCCCAAAAATTAAAATTCTGTCTTCGTTTACTCACCCTCAAGTTGTTCCAAACCTGTATGAATTTCTTTGTTAAACACAAAAGATGATATCTTGAAGAATGTTGGTAACCAAACAGTTGTTGATCTCTATTGACCTTCATAGTATTTTTTTTACAATGGAAGTCAATGGGAACCAAAAGCATTTTGGCTACCAACATTCTTCAAAATATCTTTTGTTCTCAGCAACTTGTGCAGGTTTTGAACAGTAAACAATGACAGAATTTAAATTTTTGGGTGAACAATCTTTTTAATGATTCCATTAACTAAAAAACACAACAGCCAAATTTCTAATTTATTAAAGTACCATTTATTTTAAAAAAAAAACTTGGTTGCTTTATTTTATTTTTAAAATCTCCATATTTACAAGTAATTGACCTGATTTTAATCTCACAAGCCCTACACACTGCATGATTTTTGGTTAATTTTTAAAAATAATTTTGTAAGTAATGGTATGTGGCTCACTTGTCAAGAACAGTTTTGAATCAGTGAGTCATATTCCAATTGCTAAAAAGAGTCGAATTAGTGTTACCAAAAGTACCAACGTTGGTACTGAAATTTCAAAAATGTGACGATACCAGCATTTCCCGCTAGCATTTTGACCGGATTCTTAAGACACCTCTGATTGGCCATTGTTTTCACACGCTCAACAGATATGTCTGTGATTGGCTACAATGATCAGGCTGACAGATGCGGCTTTTAAACGCTCCCATGTGTATCTGTGTAAGCGTTCGGTGAAGAGCGTGAAGCGATGATCATTGTAGCCAATCACAGACATATCTGTTGAGTGCGTGCACACAATGGCCAATCAGAGGTGTTTAACAATCTGCTCAACAGTGCTCAAAATGCTGGTATTGTCACATTTTTTAAATTTACCATTTTGAAACACTACAATTATACAGCCTTCCCGTAGCTCAAACCGTAGATCATGGCACTACTGTAGCAACACCAAGGTCATGAGTTCAATTCCCAAGGAAATCAAGAACATGCATGCAATTTAAGTTGCTTTGGATAACCATCTGCCAAATGCATAAATGTAATGACACCTTGCTGAAGAAAAAGAAGGCCCATGAAATGAATGATCCATGAGTAAAACTACATTGAGCACTGTAGACCTTCAAGAACCACCAATGGAATGAATGAAGTACCATTAAATCCATTCAATTCCCAACCCTTTAAATTTCAAATATCTACCTTCAACTTTGACTCCATACACATTGGCCTCCTCGATGCAGTCCACCATCGTGAGAATATCTGCTACCTCAGTTGTAGCCACATTCTCTCCTTTCCACCTGCAAAAAAACAAATGTTAATTCGATGCTTGAAACTCTAAATGTGCAAGTAATTCTTCAGCTCCGCCACCTGAACGTGTCTCCAACTCGATCATGAAAGTAGACAAATTTGTCTTTGTCGATCCTCAGCAGATCTCCACTGTTGAAATACAGGTCTCCTTTCACAAACACATCGCTGAGTCTCTTCTTCTCGTTCTGCTGCTTGTTCCCAGCATAGCCGACAAAAGGGGTGTGTTTTGTGATTTTCCCGACCAGAAGGCCCACCTCATCTACAAAACATTTAATATCAACAACTGCAGGGCTAAAGCTGCACATGTAAGATGTTCAGGGTTAAACATTAACTTTTTATGACAATGTTCTGCTCAAAAGGTCAATGGGAGTTGAGTCATAAAAGCTCAAATCCTAGCCTAAACAAACACCTCATACTATCTTTACAGACGTCACATAACAATAAAATGAATTCTACCATAAAATCCACAAAGCTAGCACCTGATTTACCTTTTCCAACTGGGATACACAGACCCTCGGTGTTCCTCACGGGCTCTTCTTTCTCAATGTCAAACTTAATGATGGAATAGGGGAAAAACACCTGTGGAGTACAACAGCAATCAAGCTAACTTTGCACACGGATGCTTTTCCCAATGCTAAGAAATGCGTATCGTCACTAACCTTGCTGAGAATATTGATACGACCGACCACTCCGACTTTATCAGTGTAATTGATGAAGCCGACATTTCCCTCGGTGGCGGCATAGAGCTCTCGGACATGAATGCGTCCGAAACGGTTCAAGAATTCTTGCCAGACATCTGCTCGTACACCATTTCCAATGGCAACTCTCACTTTGTGGTCTCGGTCATCGTCTTTCTGCAACATGAAGTGGAAAGAACATCCTAGTTTGTGTTTTTGTCGTTGCACTGTCCCAAAGAACTTCCAGACAAATTTGAGACACAGTAACCTAGTGAGCTTCCTCATAAGAGAACATGCTAAGGGTCATAAAACCCCACACAAATAGTGGTTCTCCACACTGGAAGTTCTCAAATAGTAGAACATGGTGCTACCAACACCAAGGTTATGGGTTCGATTCCCAGGGAATGCGTGAACTGATCAAATGCACTATAAACTTTAAATGCAAAGCAAGTCACTTGAATGCAAAAAGTGCCTGCTAAATGTGTAAATGCAGGAAACTCCATCTACACTTGATTCGTCAAAGTGAGTTTCGTCAAAGTCCCTTTCAAGGAAAGTCTGTTCACTCTGCGGCCATATTTGTGATGCCTCCAGGCAGCTATTTTTGCCATCCAAGTCCCATCTAAATGAATGGGGGAATCCTGAAATCTCAAAAACTCACAATTAAAGTACATTTTTCAAATCAGCAACAAAATCTGAAATGAACTGCCCCATGAATGTTGTTCTTTATGCTCAAATAGCATTAAAAAAAAGCTTATTTTTCAGGCTAGACCAGCCAATGCGCATGTGCAGTCCTAAGCGCAAGTCTCAGGTTGCTTCTAACGGCCGTTGCAGTAACAATCAGCGATTGGCTCTTTCATTTAAAAGGCGGGGCATATTCCACCATACTGTGGCTTTGCAGTTTCTCCCATTCATAAGTAATAGGAGTGAACCGTCTTTGTATATCTATAGTCTTTGGTTTCATGTTAGCATGTTGCTAAGCTAACAGGTGCAGTCATATTCACCATTGTTCTGCAAAAGTTCGCTGGCGACATCCAGTCATTTTCATAGGAATTCACATTAGCTGCAGTTTAGTAAATTTCACAGTTTTTAATAAATATTTTTCAGTATTGAATGAAATATATTTATAGTCATAATTTTCCATGATTTTTCTCTGTCCGCCATCTTGAATGACTGGAAATTGACAATTGTTAGCATGTTGCTAAGCTAACAACTTGATATTCTAACAAGCCTAAAAACAGAGTTTACACAGATTCTGAATGAAACAGTCAACTTATGTTTATGTTTTCTCTAACCACCATCTGGGAGGATTTTTGGTTGCAATGCATTCTGGGATTACCTTCTCAGCAAGTCTTAACGTGCATTCACATTTACCATTATTGGGCAAATTTTCGTAACTGAAATCCAGTCATTTTAATAGGAATCCATGTGATCTAAAATGTCACGCCAGGGCGAAATATTTCTTCACGCAGATTTCGCAATGGGTTACAGTTGGTCACATGGATTCTGCTTGGGTTGAAAGTGACTTCTGTGTGAGCTGTGCTTCACATAGGGCTGGACGATATGGCCAAAATTTATATCACGGTATATTTTTTAATTTCGGTCGATACGATATAATTCCGATATCGATATGAACACTATTTATCTGAAATAGAAATCTTTTGTAACATTATAAATGCCTTTATCATCACTTTTGATCAATTTTAAGCATCCTTGCTAAATAAAAGTATTAATTTCTATAATTTATTTCCCAAAAAATGTAAAAAATTATACTGAATGGAATAGTGTATAATGTTACAAAAGCTTTTTATTTCAGATAAATGCTGATCTTTGGATCTTTCTATTCATCAAAGAATCCTGAAAAAAAAATGTACTCAACTGTTTTAAATATTGATAATCAGCAAATCAGCATATTAGAATGATTTCTGAAGGATCATGTGACGCTGAAGACTGGAGTAATGATGCTGAAAATACAGCTGCGTATCACAGGAATAAATTACATTTTAAAATCTATTCAAAATAGAAAGCAATTTTAAATAGTAAAAATATTTCAACATTTTACTGTTTTTGCTGT